ATGGCAAGTCTCACTGATGATGCCGACTACGATGCCGGCGAAACGTCTGAGAATATATCAAGTCCACGGTTGGATGCTGGAAATCAAGACAACTACTATGGCAAACGACTTTGGACTCGGTGCGTTCTACATAGTCTCCCTGAACACAAGACCAAGTTGAGACAACGAGGTCAACCCACATTCTCTATTATTGTATATATAATTAGGAATTTCTAGGTAATTAAAGGCAAAATTGTATATGAAATCGAATGTTTAGACTTTGTAGAAACTTTTCTTAACTCAATAAAGTTCACATAAATATTTTAAAAAACCTATGCATTAAGGCGATAGCTCCTATGATTTTCGACTATTCCTGAATACTTAAAGCATCATCTAAAGTAATTTTTCAAATATTCCTAAGATGGAATGCATTATTAATAAAATTAATAAATTTAAAATGGTAAGTACTCATCCCATTTACTAGCAAAACACTTGAAACATAGAAAAAATTACTTATGTAAATTTTAAGATTTTAGTGCATAATTCTTATTAAGTATATCTTTTTCCGTCCCAATTTATTTCGTATGCACGTCACAATTTTTCACTCATTTAAACAGTCAAGTGTTATAGCTAGCATTTCTATACTTAAAAATTAGTTAGTGCTTATATAAAATTCGTTACTTATACTTTAATGATAATTGCACCTAATTATCGACGATGCTTTGGAAATCGATGCGTAGCCTACTACCAAAACGGCGTAAGGACTCAGTTTAGTTTGAGTATTATACAACAATGCATAAGAATGCGCGATTAGTAGTAAGGATATCGTATATATTTAGTAATACAATCTCAATTATATTAAATTTACAATATGATAAATATGAGAAGAATGAAGCTGACTAAATCAAATTATGCAACGTTCTTAGCTTATAAATCATATAAGCATGATACATAACAGTTTATTTAGGCCTTAAATGTTTGCATCACATTTTTTCTATTTATTTTGATGGTAAATAAAACTCTTTTATCAAGTAATGTATGGAAACCAATGAAGGCTGAATACTGTTTATACTGAGGAATTACTAATGGTATTAAAGCCTATTCTTATAGAATATTAGCCTCAAAATTTCCTATAATGAATATCAAAATATAAAGCACTCTCCTTTTGGAATTAACGCATTCATGAAGCTAAAACAACCCTCAGGATTGTATGATCATACATCAGTTGTGTCCAAATCAGCTGTCCTTCCAACATCAGATTCACTTGCATACATGTATGTAAGACAAAAATAGATCAACCAACCAAATCATGGAATACCTAATTAAGATCTAAGAGTGAGGCATTATAACTAAGTAGGCACTTCGTCGGCTACCATTTTTGGTTCAGTGTTTTAGGTTATATTTTGTAAATAATGGTTTCTGAATCTGACGATTTCCGTCACATGTAGGATGAAAGGTCAACACAGATTAATTAACTTCGCATGACAGTCTTTTTTGCACAATTCAAAGGTCACAATTACAAAGCAACTCTTTTTTGGCGACCGAAGAGACCTATTTCCCTCGCCTTCTCAGACGAAGGGAAAGGTATGTCATTATCAATTCTGTGAGGGAGTCTTCAAAACCCAGCTTCTCTTCTTATAAACTGTCATTCTGCCCTTAAATAAACACGTTATTCTTCGCTATTTGATATTTTGGGATGTGTATAATTTAGGAAGCAAGCAATTAAATTTGGCCTCCAACAATTTTATAAAACCTGAATAGCTAAAATGTGTTATTGCTATTCTTAACTATATTGGGCTTCCATCGGATTTTCATTTCATATTTACTACCTTTTACTCTGTTTTATTATACCAAAACGCTTAAGCTGCATTGGTGCACTCTGTTAGCTAACTTTTCTCAAGAGTAAAGCTAGTTAATTGCTAGCTATAGGAGCAGCATATATTCAGATGTATCTAAATGCATTTAATCAGACCTTTTTTGCATTTGCATTGATATTAAAATAATAGTTAGTTGTATTATAAAAACTTTTTTATTTTAAGGCATTTTTAACAAAAACAGAGTTAAAATTATTTGTTTTTCTGTTCCATTCTTTAGTCATTTACACCAATCGTCCCACAACATTCCGTTCTCGCCTTGCCTCTTCGATGCAGCTCGGTGGCTCCCCCGATGAGGTTGCCTTCTTGCCCGACGTTGGCATAAATCCAAAGGGCGAAGACCTTGATCATAAACGATATGACCGCTTATTAACAAAGGAAGAATTGCTAAGGCTTGATCGTGAAGAGCCCTTCTGGCGTCGTCTTCGTCTGATTTTATTTATAGCGTTTTGGATCATATGGGTTGGGTTACTGGTCGCATCTATTCTCATTATTGTTTTTTCACCCAAGTGCCCATTACGCCCCAAGCAAGAGTTTTGGAATCACAAGGTGGGCTATTGGGTTGATCCGTTTGCGTTTCGTGATTCGGATGGAGATTTCATCGGTGATTTAAAAGGTATCTTTAGCTTTCCTGTTACCTTTTAGGCCTCTCCAGTTCTTTGTCCTATATACACGATTCTATTGGAGCTGGTTATCTGATCCTGACTTCAATGCTGAAGGGGCATTATACTAATGGACATATCATTGGATTACCAACCAGCCTCACTGAAATCGATCCTGTTTTAGGCGGTCCTGCTGAAGTGAAAGATGTCATAAAAGCTTTTAAAAAACAAGGAATCGAGGTTGTGATCACCCTCGGCCTTAATGGTGTCTCAACCAGATCGGAACTATTTTCGCAAAGAAACCTGTTTCGGCCCACTAAAGAATTTTCTGGTAGTCAAGTAATTCTATTATTCGCGACCTGATATATTTCAGATAAATCGGAATGGACAAAAAATGGATTTATTTTATGGTCTATTCAAAGACATGGCAGATTTTGATCATCGCAACCCTGAAGTTGTTTCTCTCCTCAAAGATGCTGTTAAATTATGGCTCGATATGGGCTTTGATGGAATTGTCCTCACTGACGCTGCATTTTTTGCAGCCGAAAATATATCTCATGAAACAGAATACAACCTAAATGTTTGCTTTATTTTTGTCATCATTCTAGGCATCTAATGACTGGTTTAAATT